TTGACTTTTGAATATTAAGTACTGGCAGGGAGTAAAGGCCAATTAATTTCATTTCTGGAATGTTACATTTGAGATTATGGCACAACCCCCTAAAGAAGGTGACCTATAAGCTGCTGGGGAGATGGAATGCCACACAGATTAAAAAGGCCAGGGTTGGCTCAGCACCCAAAGTACAGTGGTTAGGGCACCCAGGCTGGTGGGTTCAAACCTGGCCAGAGCCTGCTACATGACAATGACAACTGCAACAAAAAAACAGCCAGGTGTTGTAGCAGGCACCTGTAGTCCCAGCTACAGGGAGGGACAGAGCCAAGAGAATCTCTTAAGCCCAAGAGTTTGAGGTTGCTGTGAATTGTAATGCCACAGCACTTTATTGAGGGTGACGTAGTGAGACTCTGTCTCAAAAATAAATAAATAAATACGTAAAGAGGGTGGTGCCTGTAGCTCAGTGAGTAGGGCGCTGGCCCCATATACTGAGGGTGGCCAGTTTGAACCCAGCCCTGGCCAAACTGCAACAAAAAATAGCCAGGCATTGTGGTGGGAACCTGTGGTCCCAGCTATTTGGGAGGCTGAGGCAGGAGGATCGCCTGAGCCCAAGAGCTGGAGGTTGCTGTGAGCTGTGATGCAACAGCACTCTACTGAGGGTGACAGAGTGAGACTCTGTCTCTTAAAAAAAGAAAAAAGAAAGAAAAAATAAAAAAGTATATAAAGGCCAGGGTCATAGATGAGAGATTGCAGCAATTGTCAAAAAATGAGGACAGAGACTTTGAGATGTCCTGCAAAGTTTGACATCTTCCTGCCACACCCAGCCTAGAGGCATGTTTTACTTAGCTCAGTGTTTAAAGTATATTTAAATTAATGGCCAATTTCACTTAATTTAAAAATTGGGAGTTTTAATGACATCTGGTTATGCCTTTTCTAGAAAATAGGAAGACATGACAGTGGTGGGCGCACGGTCTCCTGTGGCCAGAGTTGAATAGCTGCTGCTGTATCGGACAGGACTGGCTCTGAGTAGTCAGACACAGTCCCTCTTAGTCAACTTCTGTTATTTCATGGCAGCAAGAAGTAACAAAGATTCTCCCTGACCAAACTCTGGCCAGGTTCCTCTGAGACCTTTTGCAGCTAGGCCTCAAACTTGGCCCAAAAGATTTGAACAAACACCCTAGGGTCCTAGGGTGACTCTGGCCTCCTTTAATGTGCCTCCCTGAGAAAGTCAAGATCACCAGAAAGGAAGTTTGTTCCAGCTAGCACCTGAAGATAAGACCCCTGTCTCCCAGCTTCTGCGCGTGGCAAAGAGCATGACCTTCATTCCTGCCAGTTAATAAGCCCAACCAGAGGGGAACAATCTCCACGTCTCTCTTTTTGTAATTTTTCACTTCTCCAGCTATACTGGGTCCCCCTTTTTGTTCCCCCATTCTCCCTTTACAACGTCCAATTATCTCTGTACAAATCACCACTGAGTTCAGCTCACTCTGGGCTCTCTCCCCCTTACGATGCTGGATTACAACTAAAATCTACAGTCCTTACCACTGTAACTAGTATCTGACTCTGTCTGTCTTTGACAGAAAGCTACTAGTCAACAGAAACCAATGAAGGAGTTAGGTTTTGTTGTCATTGTTTTAAAAGAAAAAGAGACTGAGCATATTTTTTTTTCTTTCTTTTTTTCTTTGTCCTTCAAGGAAGCTGAGAAAAAGGGAGAAATCAAAGATGTAAGAAGATGTTGGCCCTTGGTAGGGTCCAGGTATTGGAAGACGCTGGAAACAATTCTAAATGTAACTGAAAATTTAGTTTTAGGGAGGGAGCTGTCTTCTTCTGAAGTTAGAGTTAAGGAGAACAGAATATAGATATGATGAAGAAGTCAGATGAAAAATAATAGGACTGAAGTAGGGAGAAGGTAAAAATCTACCTTTCATTCATCAGACTGGACTATAACAGTCACAGATAAAGCCAGCTGCAAAGAAGGACAAAATGCTACATCCATAAAGTGTCACAACAACCTTCTTTGAATGACTACTGATTTATTTTTCTTCCTTCCTTTCCTTCCTTTCCTTCCTCCCTTCCTCCTTCCCTTTTCTTTTTTCTTTCTTTCTTTCCTTCCTTCCTTCCTTCTTTCATTTCTTTGATAGAGTCTTACTATGTCACCCTTGATAGAATGCTCTGGCGTCACAGCTCACAGCAACCTCAAACTCTTGGGCTTAAGTGATTCCCTTGCCTCAGCCTCCCAGGTAGCTGGGACCACAGGTGCCTGCCACAACGCCCAGCTATTTTTTGGTTGTAGTTGTCACTGTTGTTTGGCAGACCAGGGCTGGGTTCATATCTACCAGCTCTGGTCTATGTGGCTGGCGCCCTAGCTGCTGAGCTACAGGCGCCGAGCCAATGATTACCAATTTCTTACTGAGAAACTGGGTTCTTTTATAGAATATTAGAAACTGCTGCTTGAAATCATATCATTAAGAATAAATAATCCCATTCTTGTTTGAAGGATCTAAGACATGGAGAAGAAGCCTTCATTTCCAAGGCAAGTGAAGAGCTTCATAAAAGGGTTTCTGAAGGCACCATTTCGCATCTATTTGAACTTTATAGTAGTCAAGGAAATTGGACTTGGGGTTGATATTAGCCCAGACCTTATGTTGCTGCCTTTACTCACAGCTCTGCTTTGTTTGGAGCTGCTTAAAACAATGCTTTATTTAAAATTTTACCAACACTCCACACTCCCCCCCCAAACCCGGAGATAACTCCATCTTTCCCTTCTGTGAAATCCTCCATAGTTTCTCTGGTGTGAGGTCTTCCTCCTTCCAATGGATGAATACACCTGAATCCGGTGAACCCTGGATTTGTTTCTGAAAGTAGTAAGACGACTGGGTGAGCACAGGGGCAATTGAGGGTTTTCATAGCCCAGTTCTTCATTTTACAAACAAAAAATGAGGACCAGAAGAAAGGTTCCTAATTATTGGGCTAGACTACCACCTTACCCCAGCAGAGGATCTTGCCATCCATGCACGAAGATATTCAAGGCAGGGGTACAAGATATGGGCAAAAACAGAGAGCAGACGGAAAACAACGTACACATAGAACAGAGTAGACTGATCCGGACTGATCCAGAGAGGATCCGTGGTCCCCCAGGGTTAGGGCCCCCTCTTTTTTGTCTAAAATATATATACTTTTGAGACAGTCTCAAGCTGTTGCCCTAGGTAGAGTGCTGTGACATCACAGCAACCTCAAACTGTTGGGCTCAAGCGATTCTCTGCCTCAGCCTCCTAAGTAGCTGGGACTACAGACGCCCACCACAACGCCCGGCTATTTTTTTTTTTTTTGATGCAGTTGTTATTGTTGTTTTAGCAGGCCCAGGCCAGGTTCAAATCTGCCACCCTGGGTGTAAGTGGCCAGCACCCTGCCAACTGAGCTATAGGCGCCACCTTTGTTGAATATTATTGCTGTGCTAAACCAGGGGAGGAATATTCGTGTATTTTCTGGGAAAGGGGTGGAGAGTTCTGCAACTAAAGCTGTCTTTCCCCTTTTTAGTCCATGTAGGATAATTGGGGGGGTGGGGTTGCCATGGTATTTGTAAACTGTCATGTGCTGGTGTGTTTTTATTATGCTAATGAGGAGAGTTCAATTAGGGACGTGTTGCCTCAACTGCCCACATGCTCCAACTAAAGGAATTCCATCTTTTACCAACATAAAGATATTATGGCTGGCTGGATGCCCGTAGCTCAAGCCGCTAATACGCCAGCCACATACACCAGAACCAGCAGGTTCGAATCCAGCCTGGGCCTGCCAAACAACAGTGACAACTACAACCAAAAAAAAAAAGCCAGGCTTTGTGGCCTCCACTAATTGGGAGGCTGAGGCCAGAGAATCGCTTAAGCCCAGGAGTTGGAGGTTGCTGTGAGCCCAGGGTGACAGTTTGAGGCTCTGTCTCAAAAAAAAAAAAGATATTACGGCTAAAGTAAAATAAGTATTGGTTACATTTATTTTAGCCTAGCATATGTGCATTCTTTTGACTTTCTTATCCTGTTGGCCGACTCCTTCTGACCCCTACCCTAACTGCCCGCAAGGTTTTGACTCAAGTCGTAATTGCAATTTCCTCACTTCACACCCACTTCAGAGCCACTTCCACATAAAGAACTGTCACGGGTACCTATCATGATACCTATCTTCTGAAAATACAAGGCGAAGTCAACTAGGGAGTGGTTTTCCTTAAACATGTAATCCACAAACATATCTAGGCCTTTTAAGACCATGTTTAGCCCCAGGCCAGTCATTCCTGCGGTATTGAGATTGATGAGTTCCACGTGTCGCTATGGAGGACCTGGGTCCTCAGATTCCCTGTGCACCTGAGAGGCAGGAAATGTGCAGGGCTGGGGTGCCTGGCTCTGGGCAGCTGCGGACGACAGAGGCTGCAGAGTGAGTGGGGCATAAGGGCTCTTCTCCCACCTCACTCCACTGTTCGACATTTCTTCAGCCACTTTCTTCACTCCTTACGAAAAACTTCCCTTCCCTTTCTTATTTATTTCAGTCTCTGCAACCCACTCTTTCAGGAAGGTGCCACCGCTTCAACCAGAGAGCCTTGCCTCACCAATCATTCAAATCTTCCTTTTTCTGGCACCATGCATGGGCCAGGACTGATTCTTCCCCCACTCCACCCCCTGACAATATGAAAGCAAACACTTCCTTATAGGAATATAGTATATTTCATTTAAAACACCACAATATTGAGTCGTTCCAACAAACTCCTTTTTCCCCAAAGAAAAGAAAGGTAAGTGCATGCTCTTTGGCTCTGGGGAAGCGTCCGGCGGCTCAGGATGGTGGTGGGGAGCCGACACCCCACGTCCAAAACCACCCAGGCGAGCGGGAAGACTCGAATCTGCTACTCGCGGCGAGGAGCAGCGGCCGAGCGCACAGGGACCCGGCGAGCGCGTTGATTGGTCGCCCGGCCGCCGGGCCCACCGCGCCTGCGTAGTCCTCCTCCCGCGCCGCCCTGCCGCCGCCCTGCCGCCGGTCTGCGGCCTCGGGAGAAATCGGGCGGCAGCCGGCGAGCCGACAGCGAAGCCGGCCGACGGGTGGGCCCGGCCTGTTCTTTACGAGGAGGAGGGAGGAGCCCTCTTTCTCGCCCCCCGCGCCCAGACTCCTCGGCCCCCGCTGCTTGCCCAGGCCGGCGAGGGAAAAGCTGAGGAGCCGCGGACGCTCTGCCCGGTGCCGCCGCCATGGCTGCCATGATGGATCGGAAGTGAGCCCCAGGGCGACGGCTGCCGGCGCCGGCACTTGAGTCCCCGCTCCCCGGCCGCCTTCCCCTCGGAAATCGCGGCGCGGCGGTCTGCTGACGCTCGTGGCCCTCGCGACCCCAGGGTCTCGGCGCCGGCCTGCTTCTTCCGAGACTGAGAGGCGGGGAGTGGTTCCCGGCCCCCGGCCCGGGCTGCGAGAAAGATGGCGGACCCGGCCGAGTGCAACATCAAAGTGATGTGTCGCTTCAGACCTCTCAACGACTCTGAAGTGAACCGCGGCGATAAGTACATCGCCAAGTTTCAGGGAGAAGACACGGTCATGATCGCGGTGAGTGACCCTCGCCCTCTCTCCCCCACCCTCGTCTCGCTCCTTCGGGCCTGGAGGAGCCGGGAGTTTAGGGAAGTAGTGGGGTGCGGGATTGAGAGGGAGCGGTGGGGTCCCCAGCCCTCTACAGAGGGGTTTGCTGGTTGGGATAATCCAGAGGAGGGACAGTGCGCAGCTCCGGCGTTCCTGGGTCGTCCCCACCCCAGTCTTCGGCGCCGTGAGACGGAGGCGCCTAGTCGCAGCCTGGGACACTCCCCCACCTGGGGCGCTGGAGGAACCGTCCGGGGAGCAAGTTGAGTGTCTGTGTTTTGCATATGCAGTTAGGGTTACTGATGCTTCTGGTGTTTTGGATTACTTCTGAGACCGGCCTACTATACCTTAAATAGTAAAGATCCTTAGTTTTGTAGACACATAACTTAGGTGTGTTGGGCCATATTGTTTTCCCCGGGGAGAAGAAAAAACCACCAAATAGCTGCAAATCCTCAGATGTTCACCCACTCTTGAGTGATGAATGACTTATGTTAACAGTTAGAGATGGCAAGTCGAGGACTGTAAAAAGAAATAGTTGAGGTTTTTTGTTGTTGTTTTTTGAAATGGGAGTCATCAACTTTGTCTCATCTTCCAGCAGTTCTGACTGATTCTGATTGGGTCATTAGGTACTCAGAAAGATACAGTATTTCCTCTCTTACTGGGTTTTAGGAGGTAACAGCCCAGGGGAAAAGTGTTAACTTGTGTGTATCAGCCAGAAAGTATTATAAGAGCAAGCTTATAAAAAAGATAAAAATTGACCAGTATTAAATCCATACTTACACAATTAAGATCTATCTTGAAGAAAATTGGTTTTGATAATACCAAGAATACCAGGACATTGTTCCTTTGTAGTGTCAGATGTAACCAGAGTTGGCTAATTTTGTCAGGGAGACCAAAATGTGAGGATTTTGTGAGGTCTGATCTCTGAAAATAAAACTCCCGGCTCAAAGAGATTAAAAGTGGGTGGTAAGATACTGTATACAAACAGTGAACTATGACTAAAAACTAAATTCACCTTTTTGGCAATATGATGCAAAATTTTAATTTGTTAATTTTCCCTCTAATTGCATTCTGTATTTAGTACTCTGTGGTTTGGGCTATTTAATTTGGAAATAGGGGCAGAGAGGTCACAGGGAATGGAATATTTACCATTGACAAAGCATTGAATTCTAAGACTGGACTAAAGTTCTTTATGGTTTTAATGTATATTAAGGTTTCCAAAATTCAGCCCTAGAAAATAAATGTCTTAGCTCCATGTCCTTCTTGGTAGGCTTTGGGCAAACAAGTTGTTAGGTCACTAATAACTGCCAGCTACTACTGTGTGAAGACCATCGGTCTGGTTCTTTGTTACTAAGACCAAAAGAAAAACTCTTTGGCTATAAGTGACGTCACAGCAAGGCAGAGATGGAGAAGGGCAGTAGTCCTTTAGGATGATATATTTTACATGGAATCTGGGTGCTTGGAAGGCCTGGATTAGTTGTCAGACTTGAGGCTACTTACGAGTTTTTGTGGTTACAGTTGTCGGCTTCAGCAGTTGTTGACACATCAAAGCTCTTTTTCCTTTTGTATTTTCTTAAGAATGTCTTATTTTTCTAGATTTCTGAGTATATTTACACAAACCTGTAACTATCACTGTGATTCTGTTGGAATACTAACATTTAGGAGTCATGGATTTAGTCACATGAGATTAGTAACCTTCGATGTGGCCCATATATGACAAAATACAAAGAAAGAGCTAAAGGAAAACAAATAATTACCACAGAGAACATTAATTTATTCTAGGTTTCTACTGGAGAAAGTTATTTGTAAGTTCTTTGAAGTTTCTATAGTAGTATAAATATATTTAAGGGTTAATATTAGAAACAATGGATAGGTGATCAGTTTGTGAATCAGCAATAGACAGTTGGCTTTTGGATAAACTGATAAACATTAGTCTTTTTTAAGTGTAAGCAAAAATACATTACAACTAAATGATAGCCTTAAAAAAGGTAGGACAGTGTGTTTATGTGTAGTTCATTGTTTTCAGGCACATTTCTTTTTTTTTTTTTTTTTT